CAATATCCAATCCCAAACTCAAGCGATTTTAGCTTATCGTATGCCCATCGACAATAATAACTAAAATATTTTTCTGTAATTTCTTAAAGATATAAGATAAATGGACTATTACTATTCAATATTTCATATTGCAAAATGATCAATCAAATCATTTTTCATTGTTGATAGTTTTCTTCTTTTGATTTAATCATTCAAGTTGAATAACTTTAAATAAGAAAAGAATTTTAATTCATGGTACGTTCATTATACAAATTGAAATCCAAGCGCAACAATACGTTAAACAATTAAAATCTTTCCAAATGTTATTAGTGATCCTCATGCGAGGTTTATTCGCAAAGAGTCAAAAATGAGTAACCAGTGCTTGTTTTTCTTTAAAACAAACACAATCTGATGTCCAACATTGTGTTCATCAATGTCATCATTAAATATTGACGTGACAAACAAATTGAGTCTTCCATGTAGAAATTGAATGCACTTCTTAACACAGAAAGCAAGTTACCGTTAAGCAGGATGAAAAGAAAAAAAATAGATCTATTCATTTCTTCGTCAAGATAATAAGAAGAGTAAGATCTAAATAAAGATATTTGTTATGCAGTCCTATTACATTGACTCCATCCTAATTAGAGTTTGTTGTGTATCTTAAGGCAAGGGACTGACTTCATCGTTAACTCAGTTTTCATTCAAGTCTATTTGCATTATATGCATGTGTATAATGAATAAGTATCAACATATGTAATAGATAATTTCTTTATCTTACTTGAATTAATACTCAAGTGTCATCGCATTAGAAAAATGTCTCTTGTAATTAATGCATAGTAGCTTTCCACACTGTTAGTTAAAGAAAAAAAAAGAATTTTCTCACAAGATTTTACTAGTCATGCTTTTTTTTATATTATAATTGAGCAAGAAAAATGTATTTCAGCTTCATACTAGGTTTGTTATTTTGTTTAGATTGTATTTGATAAACATGAGCTCATTACAACAAATAACACACAATTTTATTATCTACGGTTTTTTCACTGTACTAGCTATTGGAACAATTGGTAGTTTATTGAATCTCATGACTTTTTTATCTCGAGCTTTTCGCACAAATGCCTGTGCATTTTACTTGATTTGTTCTTCTCTCATTGAACTTGTTTTCATTAATTTTGGTATTATGATTCGTTTCGCAACGGAATATTTTGGAACTAATTTAATGAATATCAATCTTAGTATTTGTAAAGTACGTTCTTATTTTCCAGTATGTTTACCAATGATGGCTTCAACATGCATTTTATTGGCAACATTCGATCGTTGTATTTCAACATCGCTCCATGCACGATGGCGACAACTGAGTTCACTTTCATTTGCCCGATATCTTTTCACTGTTGCCATGCTAGTCGACTTACTTTCAGGTACTTTCCTTTTCATAGTATTCGATATTCATAATGGTAAATGTGAAACACAGTCGACTTTTCAAGCAATTATAGTTACCATTTATGTCGGCATTTTTACTGTACTTATTCCTCACGGTGGCATGTTGATATTTGGTCTTATGACATGGATTCACTTAAAGAAATCACGAAATCGAGTGATCTCAGCTGAAAATTCAAGAGTTCAAACGCGTATTGTTCATCGTACCAATCACCATTTGCTCATTTTAACATTTCTACATGCTTTTTTATCTACTTTATTTGTGTCAATACGTTTTTCTGCTTATTCATACAATGTGATAACAAGCTCGATGAAGAAGAGCGTTCAACAACAGGAAATAGAATATTTTATTCAACAAGTTAGTATTTTAATTTACTACATCAATCACAGTATGGCATTTTACATATACTATGGTTCTAGCAGTTTATTTCGACAAAACTTTCATAAATCACTTAAACAGTCAATTAATCATTTTTTTCTTTTGTTGACATGCCGTTCAGTCTAAATGGTCTGTCTTTTGCTTTGATTAGATAATGTTCAAGTATATATTAATAATAACGAAAAATAAATTTAATGTTGTTGAAAGAACTTGTTGAATATGCATGATCGCATAAACATTTGTTTCTATGTTAAACCAACGTCAACGTCCTATGTAAAGTGAAATTACATTGATGTGCGTTAATTATAAATGTGATATATTTAGATTAATTATTCAGTTTTTCAGTTAAATGTCCTTATAAGCACTATGTTAAGATGACAATGTACAACAGTGCCTAAACTCAAGTCAACAAATATTTTAGTCACTTCATCAAATTCAAAACTTCAGTTCCGGTGCAATTCTAATTGATTTTCACTAATATGATGTGATTCGGATGAAATTTTTAAAAGAAAAAACTATAAAATATGTAAATAATTCTATATTGTTAGATAAATCTGTTATTTCTTCTGACAGACTTTGCGTTAAAATTTTTATTGCTGACAAAAGATAACATATGACAGTTTGGTTAAAATGAGAACAAAATAAAGCTTTCATATGATATTTCTGTTCAGTGATAGATTTTGAGCATCTTAAGAAAAGCAAATCAAAGAACCAGTTTTACAATAAGTAAATGAACAAATGAAAGTTAGTGTACATTTGTTGTTTATGTTTCTAGTCGGGAAACTTGATGTATCAGAAACATCAGCTATTCCACTCATTGATGAATTTTACGACCGTTTCTCAACAATGTTGGTTTGAGAGGAAGAAGAAAAAGTACCTAGCAATAAAGAATTTTAATACAAAATGCATGCCACATGTAGTGGGAACTGAACATGGAATTGTTCCTCATTTAGTATTACTTTTAGTCTATTGTAAAAGAATAAAAGAAACAGATAATGCTTAAGCTTTCTAAAATGAATATATGTATTGTGACAATGCTGATAGATGATGGTTGAAAATAAAAAGTTAAAAGACACTAAGAATGATAAATGTAAACAATCCTCTTCCTTTACGTCCAATGTCCGATGTATATTCTCTTTAAAGGAACCATTGATCGAAACATGTTTTGATGTTGTCTTCGCATAGTGACTTTATCAAGAAGGAACACAACTGATGTCTTGAGGGTGTCGTTAATCTTAAATTCAGATGAACGACGTACTTCTTTTAAGATCATCATTGATAACTCATGTAAAAAATAATAAAAGATCGATTATTATTCATCCCAAATAGATTGTTCTGTATAACATTAGCATGAACTGAACAATGATTTCTCATCAGATGGCAATGGTCATCTCTCATTTATAGGTTGTCATTATTTCCTTAACGTATTTACGAATCAAGTATTTTTGAAAATTGTGTCGAATGTTCAGCTATTCTATCAGTCAATTTCAAGAAAAATTGATTTCTGTAGATTCTTGATGGATCAATCAAATATATGTTGAGATATACAATGAATAGATACTAGAATATCAGTGAACGTTTCAATACGGGTGTTTTTCTTTTCCACAGTCGAATACACGACCTATTTTATTTTTCAAGATCTTATTCTAGAAAAATAATGGTTTTTGCCAACATTTACACATAGTTTCTTCAATATTCTTCTTATTTCAAGATTCTTTATGTGTATGTCTTTATCACGTTTATAAAAATAGAATTTAGTCTTCAAGAAAAATGAGCAACATGTTACAGATAACGAGTATAGACTCCCTAGTCGAAAATTACATTATAACAAGGAATTTCATCTGATTTTTAGTTTTATATTATGCTTGAAATCAGAGTCAGAAGTGGAAATCGAACCATTGAAACTCCGTTCTTTTCAATCTTTGACCAGAGACAAGTCAAAAAAACATATATCATATATCATAAGATAATGTCCTATAGCGCTTACAAACATTTTTTTTTTAAATTGAAGTTTGTTTTTCTTATCTCTGAATAATAAAGCAAACCTTACGAACATTGTCTCGATATTTTCTTTTTACCTTTAATCAAAATAATTTGTCTTATCTTTTTCTAGTTCTGTATTAAACAGTAGATTCATGTCATTGTCATTCATTCATTTTTAGAAAAAACAAAAGAATGAAACAATATACAATGTTGTACGTGTTAATACTGTTCATAACTGTATGTCACGCACAAATGAAAGCTCCAATATTAAAAAGTGATTTCAATGGTGATTCAAATTTATGTACAATCGATTCATCATTTCCTTATTCAAGGGATACACCTTTACCAATATTTTCGCCACAAGCTCAATTTACTATACAAAAAATAGAAAGAAGACGTTCCCTACATGTAACGTTATTTAGTGAATTAACTTTGCAGCAATATTTCTATGATTATGATGCAAATAAATTGATTATGGTTAAGAGTCACAATGGTTCTATTGAAACAACACATTTTTATTATGATACATTAAAGAAATCAATATATAATGATGGAAAATATTGTTTTGTTCATAACATCAATAAAAATGATTACATGGGTATATACCAAATAAAATATTTTAAAATTTTATCTGTATTTTTTCTTTTATTTATTAGATGGTACATCGGCTATTCAATTATCGTCTGATAAATGGCATATTCGTCCATTTAATGAATTTATTCTTTTCTATAGCAATGACTCCCGACAATCATTCATTCAACCAAAATATATTGGTCAAGCCATAGTACGTGGGATGCCAGTAGATCAATGGGAAACTTGTACTATCAATAAAGATAATTATGAAACTACTCGACATGTATGGTCCTTTGCACAACAGAGTTTTGAAACACCTAGTAGTACTGTTAAATCTTATGCTCTTCCTATTCAAATGATTTTAAATCAGACGATTCTGTTTCCAAATGGTACACAAATGATGGAATTCGATCAAATATTGAATGTTTATTCGTACAGACCCAGCATTTTAGAAAGTAATGATCGGTTAGTTCCGCCAAGAGGTGTTTTCTGTTACAATGATCCAAATAAAAATTTATTATCTCTTGACGATGTTGGAATGACATGGCCAAATCGTTTTAGTGTTCGTACAGAAGCATTATCATCGCGTACTAAAGGCATGCAAAATCTTCATGCACGCTATGAAAACAATGCTGAGAATAATTTAAGACGCATTCGTTATGATTATACACTATCCATAAAAGACAAGTTGCGAACTATTATACATGATTATCTTGCTAATGTAACATATATTATTGATCGTAAGGTCGGCTCATGTCAAATCAATCGTAGTTTAGTACTTGCTGATGCTGATCCGATGGTCAATCCAGTTAGTTTCCTTGTTCAACATGCAAACAAATTCATGTTTCAATCAAACGAAAAAATTTGGGGTTTAAATGGATTTCGAAGTAACTGAAATTATTCTTATTCGAGTTTATATCTTATTTCTTTCGATTATCATTTATTATTTTAGCATGTCGAGATGATTCAATCAATTGCACATCAATAGTTACTTCATTTGATAAATTTCCTCCTGTAATCAGTTCTCAAAATGGTTCCACAAGTAATGAAACATGGACTACAACAAATGTGGAATATGGTTGGTCAATGCGTTCACTGTTTTCCGAATCATCATTTGATAAAGTAAAAGCTTTTGATTATCCAGTCTATTTATTTTTAAGATTATACCGATCTAATGAACCGAATAACACATCATCACTCATTATGCTTACAGAAGATGTTGAATATCAATTTTATCAAATGTCTTCTGAATTGTATCCATCTGATTTCGATACAGGTTCATGCTATCGTGCACTTGGTTTACCTTATATTCATCTTGGATTCGTACTGAAGCCAAGCAATAATAGATTTGTAGATAGAAAATATGTCGATAGGTGGACTCTCGAAAGGAATGTAAGAAGTACTCTGGAGACTAAAATGCAGATTAATTGGTCACGTATCAGTGACATGGAACTTCATCCTGTTCAACTTAACCATAGTATTTATGTTCTATTCAGCCTTCTTGGTCCATTACCCTTTTCGAACCCAGAAGAAGTATCGATTGAAGCAGCTCAAAAAATGCTGGAGACGACAATCAATTCGGATCAATTCAAGTTTCAAATGACATTACTCAACAATGAAAAATCTCAAATAGAATTTAAAGCAGAACCGTATTCTCTTAAAACTTCCCGAGAGTTCATATCAATTCACGCTAATATGTTTAAGGCAAATTCTTCAAATAGTACAACAACCACAACAACCACTACAACTACCACTACAAGTTCCGTTATCACTACTGTTTTATATTGCCCAGATCATAATGCCAATAATTCTCAAACTAATGGTCAGCGAATTACGAAACAGAAATATACAGTAGGAGCTCAAGTTAGTAGCATTGTCGGTGGACTTTTTGCTGGTATAGTATTTGGCTTCATTGTACTTGTTCTCTACCTATTTATAAGAAAAAAATCAGCATCAGGTACTCCTTCCATCGTTGGTAGAAGTTTTATTAATAAAGCTGCTCTCAACACATCGGAGCAAAATTTGAATATATTAAACTTGCGAAACACATCCTATGTATCATAATTTGTGATATTTATATTGTTTTTCACATATTGCTTTAATTAAATACAGACGGTTTATTTCTTTTTTTGTTTCGCTTAAATAAATTCTTTCAAATATTGTCTAGTATAAATATATACAAAAGATGTATTTTGCTGTGCATCATTGTCGTTACCGTCTTCATTCGCTTAGTGTATAGATTTGGAATACACTTCGATTGTCGAGATTATGATGACTCTCAAGACTGTATCAGATTACAATAATTAACGCATCGGATATAATTACGTTACTTTTGTTTCCAAGATAAAATTCCAACTACGCATTCAAAACATGCACACCAATTGAGTCAATACAAACATCCTAGAATATGACGCCGATAGCACCTTGTTTTCTTTTCTCTATCAAAACAAGATGATAAAAATTTCAATACATCACTGTGATCCTCAAAATAATGTCACTGTTGTTATCAGTAGTCGAGGATAAGGTGTAATCTCATTATATAGCATTAAAGTTCGATGACGTATGTCGAGTCAACAAAATAGACTTCTCTTTGGTATCTATTTGACCCTAGTATTTCTAAAGAGAATGTAAGATATCTTGTTGATGCAAATGAAAATCAACAAATTCAATGCCGACCTCGGATCATCCATTAAAATAAATAATATAAGTTATCAATTGATTTATTAAAATACATTTATTCTGCGATTATTTTCAAAACACAAAAAAAAAACACTTGGTCACATCATTGAACTTTTTAGTTTTATTTTCTCATCGTTTGTAGAAACGTTTCAAAACAAAAAAGCCACCGACTGCACCAATCAAAACACCTAATACGACGAAACTAATCCAGAAACCAGTGATTAATGGACCCGAATTCTTATATACTATTTCAAGATTTTGATTTACTTCAGTAGTTATATTGAGACATGGAGGAGGAGTCGTAGTTTGCACACAACTTTCACCATCACATTCAGTTGGATTTGGATCAAAACCAGTATTGATAGCCCGAAGTGAATTGTTTCGTGCCCACACATAGTAATCTTTACTACCGTCTCGAATATCAAATTGCAAAGTATGTGAGTCGATCATATATCGAAGATATTCGATACGTGAGGTAAGCGGTTCATCATGTATAATTGTCGATACTAGTCCGAGGAAAGGTGTTGCATCTAGTAATGTGAATGTTACAAGAATATCTTTGCCATTGAAATTAATAATGACGTTCGAAATTCGAAAGGGTCGCACTCCAAGTCTATATGCCAATGTGTCAAAAATCGTATCTCGTAAATATTCAACATTCTTTATTAGTGGATAGTCATGATCATTGTCCACAATAAACGATATTATGGCAACATTAAAGTTTTCTATAAATAATAAAATACTTGAAAGCATCATTTTTCTTCAATCAAATAACTAATTACCTCTGTGGCCTAACGAACGATAGCAATTGGCGAGTGTGTCACTAAATTCAGGAACTATACTTAGCGGATCATGAAAATTAAAAACATCTTGGAAATTATGAAAAATAAAATAAAATAAAATATATAAAATAAAAAAAAAATTCTAATACTTGATTCAACCATATATGACAGAACATCATTCGCATAATTTTTTATAACCATTTTCCATGGAGCCCAATAACTTAAGAGTTCATTATTAATACCTTTTACCCAATACCATTCTCGATATTGAAATGAATTATTTGGCAATACTTTTTCACCAATCCATACATTGCATGAAACATGATGACGACACCGTTTTTCACCGGTATATTGATATGGAATATCATCCATGGCAAAGAAATGTTGCACTGAACCCATCTGTATGAAATTTGGTTTTCCATTCACTGTCATAGCATCAGTATCATTGTAAGTCATATTTAGAACACTGCATTGACCTGTTGCACTATTATACTGATACTTGAGACCAGTTCGAAAGTCATGTAGTTCAGTGGTATGTAACAATTGTGATTCATTTGATATATTTGGATGCCAAACATCAAAACGGCTGAAGTCATACTGAACATGATATGCACTACGTGAACTTACGACTGGAAAAGTTTCTTGTGAGGAAAATCTTTCTCCATTTCCGATAGCTACAGGAGAAATACTTGAGGGTAAAATTAATTGAGACGTTCGATTTAAACAAAATACACCTGGCGGAGTTTCTATTGTTTCGAATTCCTCGTTACGGTTTGGATTAGGCGTATAACGTAATACATTGTATTGATATGATTCTTTATAACCAACTTCATTGATACTCTTAACACTTATTTGTAATATAAGACTTATATTTTGCGGCAGATATGTTTGAGATTTCGTTGCATCTGATACATAATATGTTGCAGATACAGTTGTTCGAGTATCATTAACATAAAAACATGATGTAAATATATTTGCAGAAATACCATGTAGATCTTCATCACCAATATATTGAATACTCCAGAGTTTATTCACTTGATTGCGAACATCAAAACCAAGTAAAACGGATGGTTTAAGAAAAAGTCTATTTGGTTGAATAATACTTGTTTCTGATGTAGACTGAATTATTTGTCGAACACATTGTGGTCTCGTTTGTTCACGATTCGTAGCAGGTACAATGTCAAATGTTTCATTCGTGAGAAAGTTCCAGTAGGATTTCATGACTCCTACGATACATATCATAAAACGAAAGTTTATTATGATACAAAAACCGAAGATAAGTACCTACCATCTTTTGAATTTTTTGTTACAACATCATAATATGGTGCAAATGATTGTGAGACATCTATTGTTCCATTCGCATCAACAAGTTCTGTCACAATTTCAAACCACGATGGAGTCATTTGCCATTTAGGATCATGGACATTAGTAAAGCCACCGGGACAAACAGTTAAATCAATTTGTGCATAGATAACATTCGCCAATGTTAAACCAATAATGATTAGTATTATTCTCAGTTCTTGCATATTTTTAGTGTCGATTGTATTCTATTATTAGAAATTAATGTGTTGAATACGATAATAATGACTTTTATAAATTGTGTCATGAAATAGGCAAAAACGAAGAGTTGTGTTTGCTTGCATTATCTTTGATAAATGCACGATAATATCTTTCTGACTTCATTGTTTTATCTGCTACTCAATCGTTTTACATGTAAACTACAGCAAATGTCTGCTGTTATCTATTCGAGAATAAAAATGACATCATTTTTCATCATCTTGTTGTTTGCTTATCTTTTTAAATGTTCTTGAACAAAAGATCTTGTCAGTACAACTCCTGTCGGAATTCCAATGTAGAGTTGATATACATATGGTTTTGATTG